AATGACTTGAAGGCACAAAACAGCAACAAATTCATGTTGTGCTTCCCTTCTTTCATGTCCTCTTTTGAGGTGGTGACACATGGAAGTATGAAAATGAAGAACCATCACACAGAGTCTTCATGAAAGGAGCAGGATGTCAAGATGGAGGAGAGATGAGCGAAAGAACCGAAGCAACATGGAAAAAGAGGAAGAAAATCCCAGCTTTTCATGGTGCTGATATCTCTGAAATCCCAGGCCAGTTAAAAACAGAACAAGGCAAGGAGACCAGGGAATGTTTTGTGTGTGGCAAAAGCTTCTCCTGGAATTCATATCTTGATGTTCCTCTCAAAATTTACATAGGAGAGGAAGCATTTAAATGCCTTGAGTGTGAAGAAAAATTCAGTATGAGAACAAGGTTACCTGACCAGCAACAACGTATGCGGGTGAAACCATATACATGCCCACAATGTGGTAAGAGGTTTGTTTGCAAGAAATACCTTGCTGCCCATCAACACATCCACACAGGGGAGAAACCGTTTAAGTGCCTGGAGTGTGGGAAGAGCTTCCTTCAGAAATCAGGCCTCAACAGTCATCAGATTATTCATACCGGGGAGAAGCCCTATACATGCATGGAATGTGGGAAGAGCTTCAATAAAAAATCAAGCCTCAATAGTCATCAGGTTATTCACACGGGGGAGAAACCTTATAAATGCCTGGAGTGTGGAAAGAGTTTCATTTGGAGCTCAAACCTCAATAATCATCTAGTTATTCATACAGGGGAGAAACCATATCAATGCCTGGAGTGTGGAAAGAGTTTCAGTCAGAGAGCACACCTTGCAGGCCATTTAGTTACTCACACAGGGGAGAAGGCCTTTAAATGCCTGGAGTGTGGAAAGAGCTTCAGCCAGAGAGGACACCTGCTTGGCCATCAAGTTATTCACACAGGGGAGAAACCTTATCGGTGCCTGGAGTGTGGCAAAAACTTCACTCAGAAAGCACACCTCAAGAGACACCAGGGTATTCATACTGGAGAGAAACCATTCCCTTGCCTGGAGTGTGGAAAGAACTTTAGTGACAGATCACACCTCAGTAGACACCAGAGTACTCACACTGGAGAAAAACCACTCTAGCTTCCGTCTCTGACCTCCCTGGCTTCTAACTCTGACCTCAAGACAGTGGTCCTTGAACAAAAAAACTACAAAGGAAGACTGGAAAGAGAAACAGCTGAATTACAATATATCCACAGACTCCAGTCCATTCATTTCACAGTGAGTTGAACAGAGATAATGGCTTCCTGGCACACTATACATAATACATAACACTATACATAATACAAAGCCCTTCTTAGCCAGTTTATTATATCTCCTTTCTGGTTCCCAACCAAAGCTCCCTTCACCATTTATATGGTCATCCATCCACCCTGGCTTTAGGCAACCTCTTTCCATCTGCCTTTGCTCTCCCTGCTGGCCTTTTGCCGGCAAGTAAAAACATTTTAGGGCAGTTTTTATGGAGCAAGTGGGCTTTTAGTTTGTTTTTAACTTTTGTATATTTTATGTGATTTTATACTGGATGTAGATGTTTTAATTGTTTTGAATTTAATTGAGATTTCAAATGCTTTATCTGTGAGCCGCCTTGGGTCCCTCCAGGGAGAAAGGCAGCTTATAAAATAAATAAATAAATAAATAAATAGTTAAAACCAAACCTGTCACCTTATCACCATACTCATACATTTTGCATGGCTGTTCATACAGTCTGATTATAAAGGTCCTTCCTGGGTGCCAGTTCACTCCATGCATCTGAAGGAATAGACCTATTCTATGAAAACTTATGCTACAACTTCTTTCGCACAGTTAGTCTCAAATATGCTACAGGATCCCTTTGATATTCCAGACTAACACTGTTGTCTCTAACTTCCATATGTCACATATGTACAAATTGAAAGCTGTATACATAGACAGAATAACATCTCAGACCTTTTCGGAAGATTTGCCAATGGAAAAAAAAAATGGTAGCTCTCATGCCCTGGCTCCAGGATCCTGGTATGTCCTCTTGAGTCTGAAGGCAATGATGGGTCTGAGAGCTCAGAGGACATGCCAGGGCTGTAGCCCCAATTCCAGCATCCCCAGCAGGAGAGCCTGCAGCCAGCACAGGAACAAAGGGGGGTTGCAGACTGCCAGAAATAGTGCAAATTGAGTCCACTTTTAGGGTTAGGGTTAGTGCTAGGGAATCATGGGAATTGTGTTTTTTTCTGAGACATTGAGCCTTCTCTGTCAGAGAGCTCTGGTGCCACAATAAAATACAGGTCCCATGATTCCCTAACCCTAACCCTAAAAGTGGACTCAATTTGCACTATTTCTGGCACTCTGCAACCCCCCAAAGTTCCCTGCAACCACAACCCTCAAATGGTGAGACAGACTTACTGATATCC